CCCCCGTCCCTCCCCGGGGGCCCCGCGGTCCGCCCCCGGCCGGGGGTTCATCTACCTCCCGGGGTGAGGGGCGGCCGGGTTTGGGCCCGCCTTCCCCGGGCACCTCCTCCCCGGGCCCCCCCGGGCTGGGGTCTTGAGGCGCCTCTCCGCAGCTGTTAGGGCTAAAAATGAAGAGTAATGGGCAGGCGCAGGCCTGGGAGTTACGGCTTGGGAGCGATTTAGGGGGGAACGAACCGCGCAGCGTTAGGTTCGGTCTTTGAGCTGGGGCGGGGAGGGGCGAGAAAGGCAGCGTCTCTCAGCTCAGTTTGGAAATACCGTTGGTTTTATCTTCGTTAAGGTCCCATCGTGATTTGAAAGTAGTCGAGGTGACCGGTCGCGGTTAAGTGTCGGGCCGGAAAGCCGAGACTTTTCAGTTCCACCTTCTCTATCCAGCTCCCCAGCCAGACAGTTTTCTGACAAAGGATATATTCAGCGGGAGCATCGTCTGCTGGCAATGGTCCGTCCCAGCTTTTTACGAGGGCCTGGTGGATCGAGAGTTTCTCCTGGTCTCAGTAGTTGCGCTTGCCTCACAGGGTGAAAGGCATTTTCTGAGATATCTAAGGCCAAGTCTCAGCTGGCGACACTTTAAATTGTATTAAAAATAGATAAGTGTCTCCGTATGCTCTCCATGAAGAGCACAGCTCAGCGGGAGATCCCGCTTAGCCTGCAGGTAAAGGCCGGGATGACGAACTTGCAGTCCGGCGCCAGGAAAGGCAAGAACGGAGATGTTGTTGTGCTGTGGGCTGAGGTGCATGAGCTCATGATAGACCCCTTACCCAGGAGGACAGAAATCCTCCTCTGACAAGGGTAGTTTGAACCAAGAAGATAGCTTCACCCTCACCAGCCTCTGACTGAGGTTGTCCCCAAAGCGTACCATAAAATGCCGCTTCCTCGATCCCGAGGTAAGCAAAGCTACGTGGGCCCTTTTCTCCTGCCATCAGCAGCAGATGGATTTTTCCCTGCCTTTGGAGCGGGAGCTTGCAAATAGTGTTTTGGACTCCCCTCGGAGCAGCTGACTTCTGACTGGGGCCATACGCAGCCACGCTCAGCAATTAAGATCTGGTTATTATTTTTTCCCTTCTCTTTCTGTACGTCCTGAGCTGACCCCCTGAGAAACGAACTGTCAGCCTCTGCTCCAGCCTCGCCTCCCTCCGCGAGCCTACCTGGGCGCTGGCTGCCTCCACAGGGGTGTTTCATCTCGCAAAGGATGCCTGCCCGCCTTGCCTTTGCTTGCCTTCCTTAAGAGAATGCTTTGGGGTCTATCGCATTAGAAACTGGTGGTCTGGGAAGATGATGAGATTACAGGTTCCCCAGTCCTGTAAACATTTGCACATGCTCGATGTGATTTCGGCTGTGTGAGCATTCCTAATCTTATAAGGGAGACAGCTCATTTGAGGAAAACCCTGCCTGTGTTTAAATGCTGCAGGGTTACTGCCAGAGATCCCAGCCCCTTAAGAGAGGAAATGACCTATTCAGGTTATTTGCCCTTCTGTTTTTTATTTTAATGACCATCGGTACAACACAAACACTGAGCAGACAGTGGGGAAAGATCAACCTGATAAGATTTGGTGTTTCTCTGTGGTTTGGGATGGGATGTCACCTAATGGTTAGCTAATCCTGCTGCTGTACCCTCCAGCAAAACAGAGAATGATGAAGCTGATGTTTTTGATTGTGCTTGGGAGAACCCAATTCCTCCATGCTACATTTTTTCTCTCTTTTATTTTTTCCTTCTAAAGGGGAAGGGGGCAAAAAGCTTTCAGACCTTCTTACTACATCAGAAGAAAAAAGGAAAACAGCAAGATACCACCCCCATTTCCTCCCCTTTGCATGTTACTTGTAACGTTACAGGTAAGATGTTGGATTTTCTATTTCACCTTGTTCTGTGCATTTGAAGTTCTGGTCTTAACGTTGCGTTTACAGAGACCTGTGCCCTATAATTCCTTGATTTTTGTGGGTTTTATTGCTTTCTTGTAAAGATAGGGGAAGGGGAGAAGAAGCCTTCAGATGTGGCACTGTTAAGCTGCACCTTGTGAAGTCCTGTGTGCCCCTGATCTCACCTACCCCAGAGACACGCAGCCATCCGGCCGTTTAGTAATCTCTTTGCACGACTTCACAAGATTGACAGGCTGTCCTGTGGCTTCAGGTTTAGTAGCATATTTTGCCAAGTTTGCACGCAGTCTGCTTGGGCACACGAACATGCACTGTCCTGCAGCATTCATAAATTAAAAAAAAAAAAGCCCTTTAAAGGCACACTTTCCTGTGTGCTAGTCCCTTTGATTCTGAGATTTCTCAGAGTAGGCACTATGAGCGTCGGTATTCCCGGCCTGCCTGAAATTGTTTTGATATCTGCAGCACTCACTCTGCTTAATTGACACTTCAGATGCCATCCAGCTTGGAAGCTCTTCATGCCACAAGTGGTCTTTAATAAACTTACTTACTTTCCTTTTTTTTTTTTTATTTTTGGGTGAGTTTATGTCTAATTTTGGATCATTCTGAATTTTTACCATATATGGTCAGGGCTCCTCTTCAAACTTTGCCAAAATGAAATGTGATGATTATAGAAAAATGAATTATGGAAAGGGAAACTAGGAGAGCTAGTTTGTTAATCCCCATTGTTCATAAGTTGTCTTTTGCTGTGTGCAGTATCTCAATCTACACAAACACCAGCTTCTTTTGCCAGAGAGTCACTTGTGCCCAGTGGATGGTCTGATAAGTTGGTGTTTAGAACTGTATTCTGTTCTTTTTCTTTTGCCATCCTGTTCTACAAAGGAGGGATAACAATATTGCTTTCCCTTTTCAAAGTGCTTAGAAGGTACAAGTGCTAAGTATTTTAATCCATTATGCAATCAGTTGCCTATTTTTAGTACCTGAACCATTTTTAATGTTCTTTTTACAATGCAAATGTGCTTTTATCAAGGCTGACAGAACGAACTGTTTCGAGCACTTAAGCCACAGGGAATGGGGATTTATCGGGGACTGGTTTAACATAACTCTTGTGAAAGGTGGTGTATGGCACATAAAGATCAGAGAACTGCTGCGAGGCACTTGTAAATTAAAGGGTGAGAGAGTTCTCTAAAAATCCCAGTATTTCAAACTGCATGAAAGTAGGTGAAAACCGTTTTAAATGCAAATGATAGACTAGCTCTGTTAACGATGCTATTTTTTCCCCCCTTTCCAGTAGGGTTGTGCACCTGCAACTGGGACAGCCATGGAGAAGGGTGGGAATATTCAGCTGGAGATTCCTGACTTCAGTAACTCTGTCCTGAGCCACCTGAATCAGTTACGCATGCAGGGTCGCCTGTGTGACATCGTGGTCAACGTCCAGGGGCAAGCTTTCCGCGCTCACAAGGTGGTGCTGGCTGCCAGCTCGCCCTACTTCCGTGACCACATGTCCTTGAATGAAATGAGCACCGTTTCCATTTCTGTCATCAAGAATCCTTCTGTTTTTGAGCAGCTCCTTTCCTTTTGTTACACCGGTAGGATATGTCTGCAGCTGGCTGACATCATCAGTTACCTAACGGCTGCCAGTTTCTTGCAGATGCAGCACATCATAGACAAATGCACGCAGATTCTCGAGGGAATTCATTTCAAAATTAACGTGGCAGAGGTGGAAGCGGAATTGAGCCAGACCAGGACAAAGCATCAGGAGAGACCACCGGAGTCCCACCGGGTGACGCCAAATCTAAATCGTTCTCTGAGCCCGCGTCACAACACCCCAAAGGGGAGTCGCCTGGGTCAGGTTAGCACGGTGCTGGATATTCGGGAGCTCAGCCCACCTGAGGAGTCCACCAGCCCCCAGATAATTGAGCAGAGTTCAGACGTGGAAAGCAGGGAGCCCATACTACGGATTAACAGAGCGGGACAGTGGTACGTTGAGACAGGAATGGGAGACCGCGGGGGACGGAATGACGACGATGTTCGGGTGCTGGGAGGAGTACGCATTAAAACGGAGAACCTGGAGGAGTGGCTCGGGGCAGAGCATCAGCCATCAGGAGAAGATGGGAGCAGCGCTGAGGAGGTCACTGCTATGGTGATTGACACCACAGGCCACGGATCGATGGGCCAAGAGGCTTACGCGTTAGGGTCCTCCGGCGCCAAAGTGGTCAGGCCAACCAGCAGTGAAATTGACAGGTGAGTTTTCTTTTAACTTAACTACTGACCTTGGCTGTAAGAGGAGATTGTGCAAGATTTTCACTTGGCTGGGTTGGTCGCTTTGGAACGTTTCCCCCTTCTATCTCCTGCGGCCATCTCAAGCATAAGCGCGGAAGGAATTTTCTCCCTGGTGTTAGGAAGTGTTTCCGGTTTGGGTTACAGCATTTTGGCTGGGTAGTGATCAGACCAGGATCTCCAGGTACAGGCTAGCTTGGGAAATAAATTATTAGCACTTAGAGGTGCATAGGTTGGAATCTCTGCCTCTTGGTGTTTCAGCTGAGGTGGGATTTTTGTCTCAAGAGGGTGTTCAGTTCAGCCTCAGTAGATAGCAGGCTCAGCCTCAGAATTAACGAGGTCACATACAGGATGTGTTACGCAAAATGTCATTGCAATGATGCCTTCTGGCCTGAAAATCTGGGGGTGGTTCTGTGTGAGAAACAAGCCAGTTCACCAGCTGTAGGTCAAGAGGCAATTTTCTTCCCGGTGGTCCAGGACAGCAGTGGGTTGTGGGTTTACATCTTCTGAAGCAGTTGAAGTGGGGAGCCCATTGGCCTCCACTGTTGTTTTGATTGATATGGAAGAGCAGAAAGCCTTTATTGAAAATAAGTGGTGAAATCTGCTGTATTTTGATTCTCCATCCATCTGCTTCCCCTCCACTCCAGCGTTTGTTTTCTTGCCCTTAGCTCAGGCCAAAAAATGGATCTGATAAAGGGCAGATCTGTTGTGTCTGGGGCGTTTGTATTTGTGGCGCTTCCCTTCACATCTGCCTCTCTTCTCTTCTAGCTCAATCCCTCTGGTCCCATGGGGGAACAGGTACCTGGAAGCAGTGGATATTCTGTCACTTGTCGCTTAATAAATCAATCAGTGGGAGTGACCTTGAGCTGGCCCTTGGGAGAGTGATCCTTGCCTAGTTCCTTAACTCTTTTTCACAGATCAGCTAGCCTCAAGCATCTCTTTTTGCACTGCACTCCATATCCACTGTTTCCCACCTGGAGTCCATCACATCACCTTTGTTTCACACTTGAAAAGGGGAGGAGGGCGAGGGCCGTGAATGAGAGGTGCCCTTAGAGAAATGTTTTTTTCTCCTCTTGTACAGTTCCTGAGTCACTGGGCCCATATCGAGTTACTAGCGATAGCATCCAAAAAGCTCTGTGTTGCTGAACTGGAAGCCAAATGACTCAGTTTTATTTTTCAGATGTTGAGACTGAAACCACAGACCAGTATGACTTGGTTTTTCCTTAATACTTGCGCTGTTCCGCCTCCTGTGTGTTAGCTGGTGAGGATGAAGAGATGCTATACAGGTGCCTCTATTGCTCACCTGTTGTTCTAAACACCGTAGTGACCTGATGCCCATTAAAAACTCCGTTTACACTCTTCCCCCACCCCACAGATTTAGCCCTTCTGGCAGCATGGTTGCTGTGACTGAGCGGTACAGATCAAAAAGCGAGTCTCCCGGGCGGATGGATGAGCCCAAGCAGCCCAGTTCCCAGGTAGGCAGATCAAGAAGTTTGCAAGTAAATGTTGGTATTGAAGGTGAGGGGGACTGTGTTGTGATGAAGTGTATAATATTTTATAATTGCAAGCAATACTGTTTGTGAAACAAGGACCTTTTACTGTTGCAAAGGGTTTAGTTGCTCACACTGAGAATGTATGCTGTCAATATCTGATTTAAAACTGATTTTGGCTGTCGTTTGGGATTTCGGCCAGATAGCTGGCTAGATATGAGGAGGTTCTCTCGTTGTCTGAGGGCATAAATATGAACTCTCGTTCTGGGCAGGCCACCAACTCCTGAGGAGAAAGCCCATTTGCCTCCAGAGTTGGATCTGCCCTGAAACACTGGCAGCAAATGCCTGAGCTGAGGGAGGAGGTGTTAGTTGGCTTCTGTGGAAGACTGAGGGGTGACAATAGCTGAACCTTTCCATGCTAGTACTAAAACCATTCCAAAAAGCACTCCGGGCCCTACACCAGTATATCTTTAGGGTGGAGTGTCAGAAGACTGTGGATTTGTTCAGAGGTCTCCATCTCATACCCAAGGGACTGTGTTGCATAGCAGAATTTACAATGTAAAGTAGCTCTGAATTCTCTGCTTTCTTGGGGTGTGGGCACAATTTTGGGGTAGGAGGGAGAGATACGCAGAGATGCAGGAGGGCAATGGGCAATAGGGTGCAGCAAGGTGGGACACAGTGGTACTACCTGTGCCTAATAATTTTGATCTAATTTTTTTGTTGCATACAGTCAGTATCGCAGTGCCACTGTAGTGCAAGTATATCACCCAATACTGTGTAGAATGACTCTTGTGTGCCTGGCAGATAAGTAATGTGTTGGTTTGTAATCAAATGACTTTGCTGGAGGCAGGTGAGGAGTTACCAGGCTGCTTTGCCCTTCAGTAAGGCCGAGTGAAGCAAGGGGAAAGAGATCGTGATTGCTGTCTGCTGACTTTGTAACACACTTCTGTAAAACAAAAGATACCTTTTTGTTCCTATTTTGCTGAAGCTTTGTTTTGTGTCCTCAGAAAACATCTAGAAAATTTCAGGTCAAACTAACCCTCTAGGGCAAATGCGACATACAAAGCAATTTTAGCTCTATGTACAGAAAAGCTGCTATTATTTCTCCATCGTGAGATAGCCTCAAATGTAAAACCATAGGCTTACAAGTACCCGGAGAAGTATCATCACCTTCCACTCTTCTGGTATTGCCATATCGATGCTAAAAATAGGCTGCCCATGATCTCTGCCCAGTGGCAGTGGTAGAGTGGAAAGAAAGTACCATAGCTTTGTACATTTCCTTTAGTCCTGAGCAGCTTACCAGTGCTCGTACAGCTGGACTTAACATCATCTGGCACAGTTACACCGCTGCTTGCGCGTGCACAGCCCTGGTTCCTGGAAGAGAGGCCCTCCTGCTGTTACGCTAGTTGCTTGTCTGCGTTTGGCATCATTGGGAAACAGTGTAAGACTTGGAAGTGCAAATACTGCATCCTCCAGCATGGAGGCATTCAGGAGACTGTCTCTTTGTGCTCATTCTGAATATGATAGCCAGAAGCGGCTGTCCTGGAGCCCAGGCTTGCGGTTCAGGGTTACCCTTGGCTGTTTGTCTTTCTGGCTTCAGGAAATAATGAGGAGCCAGCTAGTCCTTGCTCTGTGACTTGGGCCAGGCGTGCTAGCTCTCTGTGCTGCAGAACCTCCCCTACAACGCTGCGGGGCTGGGATGGGTTACACAGCCATTTAGGCAAACATGATTCATTATAAAATGAATCCTGAATGACAGCTGAATAAATGCCCGTGTAAAGTGACACCTGAAGAGTTTCAGATACGATTTGTAGTTTATTCCACCTTTGTTTTACTGCAAGCTCATCAACTGGCTTCTTTTTTTAACCATTAGTAAGTTAAACAGAATGCAGTATACAGTATTTTAATCACACTGGCCCAAGTGTTTAAAAAAAAGTAACATGTATTGACATGTTTGATCCACAACTCAATCGGTGGCTAAGCGCCCTCCTGACAAGGGCTGACTTTTTTTCCCCAGATCTAGTGAATGACTTGGCAGAAGGGGCTGCCACAGCAGAGGTTTCTAATTGATTGCTCATTTGTCTTCAGCCCCAAGGCTCTAGTTAAGCACTTAAATGTGCGCTTGAGGTTGGAGACATTAGTGCTGCTGATTTCGAGGTTTGGCACATGCTTCAGTGCTTTACTGGCTGGACTGGGGCCTGATCTTCTTTCCTGTGATTTGTCTTAGGCTGCTTATTATTTAAATCTCTGTTGTTTCCTTTACAGGGGGAGGAATCGGCCATGCTTGGAGTGAGCGGTTATGTGGAGTATCTCCGGGAGCAGGAGGTTTCAGAGCGCTGGTTCCGGTACAACCCACGGCTCACTTGTATTTACTGCGCCAAATCCTTCAACCAGAAAGGCAGCCTGGACCGGCACATGCGTCTCCACATGGGCATCACACCTTTTGTCTGCCGCATGTGTGGGAAAAAGTACACCCGCAAGGATCAGCTGGAGTATCACATCCGCAAGCACACAGGCAACAAGCCCTTTCATTGCCACGTCTGCGGTAAAAGCTTCCCTTTCCAGGCCATCCTCAACCAGCACTTTCGCAAGAACCACCCTGGCTGCATGCCTCTGGAGGGGCCTCACAGTATCTCCCCTGAGACCACTGTCACGTCTCGGGGGCAGGCAGAGGAAGAATCTCCTCCACAGGAGGAGGCTGTTGCTGTGGGGGAGACGGCACAGGGATCTGTGTCCACAACTGGGCCAGATTGAAACATGGCTGCAGAGTCTGGGGAGAAAGGACCATCTTCCCATTTTTGGCTCTAAAGAGTCAGCACCAACCTGGCAGGCTGGTACTGTAATTAGTGCAATGCCACCACTGGACAGAAAGAAGCTCCCAAGATGTTGCCAAAATAGAAAAATCTTTCTCTCTCTCTCTTTCTCTCACACACACACCCCCACACACGTAGAGTGTTAAAAGTTTTTCTCCCTTGTTCCTCCTCCTCTTGGAGAAAAACAAAACAACTGTGTCAATCAACTTCTTATTCAGGGATCAACAGGATTTTAAATTTTTTTAATGTTCCGTAGTGATCTGGGACGAACAGTCATTTGTATTTCTCAACAGCGTTTTGGCCCAGCAGCTAGGTCCCGCTGGCAGTACCGGCCGTCAGCCATGCAGACCTAGTGAGCTTAGCGTGCAGGGCTGCTCCTTGTCACATCTGCTGGTCCAGCTCAAGAGGAGAGCAGGGGCAAGGTGCTGTTGCCTTCCTCCATTCCCCAGGTAGTTGCCACGTTAAAGAAAACAAAGACTGTCCTGGTGGAACCTGCCTTGCCCAAGTGTATTTATCCCTGTCTTATTTTTGGTGTGTCTCTTTTTACCTTTTTACTGAAACTATTATTTTAGGGCTTTTGGCTTGCCCGTTCCAGGCTTGCAGCCTCAACGCCCCTTGTTAAAAGCGGGCACGGCTATAAAGCGGTATTCTAGAGGTCAGCAAAATTTGAAGCGCTTCGGCTACTGAAAGTGAAATTTAGCAGCTGTGAGGTTTGCAGTAGACTCTGATGCATTGGGAGAAGGGTTGGAGGGGTCTTTCGGAGGAGGTTGTCCTTTGCTGTTGCTGATCTGGAGAGTTCAGAGCACTCTGACATCCTGACTGGTGCGCTGCTGTGCTTCAGGTGTTGCTGAGCATTAGGAAGAGTTTTTCTGGACTGGCTGAATTGTGGAGTTAGAGGCTGGCTACCAAAGTCGTCCTTCACCCCTACTCCCCCCTCGACACGCACTTGATCTTTTTCAGCAATATGGTATACCGAAATACTATCGTCCCAGCTGAGCAATCGTAGGTGGTTGCTTTTAAACATGTTTCTACAAACTAGTTTGATAACTTTTTTATCAATGAAATGAAAAAAGAAAACCCTACTTTATTTCCTCATAACAGTTCAGGAAACTTAAAAGTGAATGGTTCCTACACAACTCTGTCCCCTTGCATGGACTTAACCTTTTGTATTCTAAGCAGCTCTGATGTTTAGAGCAAGTTAAGCAAAGCCGGAGAGACATGCCTGCGTTGTGTATTGTAGGTGTTTGCACGTGCTTACGTGTTTCATAACCGGAAAAGCATGGGACAGGTAGATAAGTGCAAATATCTTGACATCTTTTGAAGAAGTCTTTTAAAAAATATGCAATACTTTAAGAGTTTTCTCTGGTTCTGATGCCGAGTTGTTCATGATGGAGGGGGAAAATGAACGACAGGTTGTGCAGACTGGGTTTGGGAGTGGACATTTGGTCGAAGGAGTTCTCTTGAGGATGTGTAACGTGTACAATAAGGAAGGATGAAGTCCTGATCCTTAAGGTGATGGGAGGAACAATGAGACATTGAAAAAGGAATACACTTCATCTTGCTCTGGCAAAGCAAGGCAGGTGAGCAGTTAGAGTGTGGGCTCGGCAGGCGGGAGACTTAGCAAGTGAAAATAAAGCCTGCTCCACAGTCTGATTGCACAATTTTGGGCACATGGAAACATCTCCAGGTCTCACTTTCAACAACTGCAAAATGGGACTTGGGATCATTTTCCTGCCCCTTTAAAGGGAAGAATTTGGAGAAGGGTGATGTGTACTTGCCTCGCTTTATATATTTTTCTCTTTTATAAGTGAGGGGTCTTACTGTTCCTCCCATATCTCTCAAAAAGCAGATGTGGCTCTAATGTTTTTCTGTGTGGGGGGAAGGGAAGGGCTTGGAGCCAGGATCGCATGTAATGAGGATGCGCTCCTAAGAGAGGAACCTTTGTAGGTGTTCTGAGTCAGGCACCTGCAAAGTACATTTCATTGACCATTTCAAACAGGAAAACTGATATTTCACCTTCGGTTTCCTTCTGTCCCTTCTTCCTCCTCTCCTGTCAAGTGCATCGTCACACAGTGAATGATTTTCTAAGCAGCCACCCGAGGGACCAGCCCCACTGGGTTTCCTGTCGAAGGTCAAACAGGATTGTACCGAAACAGTAAGGTTTCCAGAGAGCAGTCGGAGAAGATGAGAGATAAGAGGGTGGCTAAGGTAGGTTTCATTGCAATCGAGGTGCGGAGGAGAGGAGATGTGCAGAGTATGCTGCTTTAGTCATAGCTTTTGAAGTTACCAAAAATCAAAAAGAAGAAAGTTAAAAACTTTGAAATCCTATCCTGTTCACACTAGAGAGCATCAAAAGTTACTTTTAGTTGCTTAAAAGATTTTTAAGTGTTTTAAAATAGAACTTTTAAAAGAATACTACCAAACTATAAAAACATAAAATTATTTATATACATATATTATATATAAATATAGTGGGAAAGTTTCCCTGCTAAGCTTGCTGTGAAGAGAAGGGTGAAGGTGCAGTAACTGCTATACAAGCAACATTTTTCTGAAACAGATGGCAACCGATCCATCAAAGCATAGTGATGAAGGGCTGACATAAAATGGTGAATGCCTTTATTTGTATGGCGTAGCTGTGAGTTTGTTGAGCAGGTTTTTGTTTTACTGTATCGATACTGTGAACGGAGGAGCATCCTAACAGTCCAGGATGCCAGCAGTGCATCCTGTTTTGCTGATTCACTACTTTCAATTGGCCTGGTGAAAACCATGAAATTGGTCCTTCATATCATACTGGGCTAGTCTGAAAACAAAGCTTGTGAAAGGTTTTTATTTTTTCCTCTCTTTTTTTTTTTGGTGCAGAGGTTGCCACTGTATAAACGATCATTTCTGAATGCATGCAAAAGAGCCAATATTCTTGCCCGGGCCTCACTGAGGTGAAGTTTATAGCTTGTAGCTAGAGTCAGTATAAGGTATGGTAGTGGGAATCATTTTAATATTATTTCTGTACATTTAATGGATGTGTATGTATGTGTGGGAATCATGGTGTCTCTTATGTTTTCTCGGACAGCGCTGAAAGCAGTTTAGGCCTATCCGCACTAGAAGATGGAACCAGTTCAGAAGGAATCATTTATTAAACTTTTCTTTCAGTGGTTGACTTCTTCAGTGCAGATGAGGCCAAGGTTTGAGAAAAGAGGGGTTGGAGGTCATATATGGTATGGAAGAACCTCATGTGAATTTTCCAGCAGTGGTGTAGCTACTTGGAGCTGCTTTCCATAACAGAATGATACCATCTTTCATTGCCTCTCCATTGGCAAACCATATAGCTCTTTACGGTTGCACCGAAGCTGTGGAGAATCAGATGCCAACTTTCCAAGTGCGAATGCTTCTGTGATGGGTTGAGGCACAGCTTTGCATTTCCATGTCTAGCTGCAGCTTTTTCCCCCTCTGCCAAAACTGTGATTTCAACTGTGATTTAAGGAGGATGTGAAGAGAACTCTGTCGTATTTTAATACCTCTGTACGTAACATTTCTGTCTGCTTCAGAGTTGGGGCTTACTAACCCATTTGTTTGCTTGCCTCAGGCAACAGGGGGAACATACTGTTTCTGCGGTTTTCTTTCCCAGAGGGGGAACACATTTCTTAGTTCTTTGCTGCGGCAGAGAAACCTTCTAAATGTGAAGTGTTGCAGTTATCTCTTTGAGCCTGCAGAAAGCCCCGGTGCCAAGTCACAGCAGAGTGACGTGACGGTTCCCGTGGCTGTTCCCTGCTGCTGCCAGGTTCCCTGTGAATAGCTGTGAAAATAACAAGAATTGTGTTAATACTGTGCTGCTGCTTTGGTGAAAAGCTAAACCTCTTCCTCTTGGGAGGATGACCGGTGTGAAGCTGGGAGAGGTAAAAAGCAGAAGGTCTTTTTGCTCTCTTGCAATGGGAGTATGTGAAAGCAAACCGTGCTTTTTATTTCCAGCAGCTAGATAGAGAGGAATGAATGAGGAGGCTTTATGAAATGTGAATTTATAACAGGAGGCTGAGAACACACTTAGAGCCGCTTAGTAAGATCCAGGGATATCAGCCTGGTAGGAGTCAGAGCAGCCAATGCAGATGAGCAATCCCTCACTTGTCCTCCCAGCATTGTCTGGCCATCAGGTTCAGTCCTTTGACTTACCTGCATCTTCTCTACAATATTTTCAAGCTGTGATCTGTATAATGTAACTTTCAGAAGTTTGGGTGGCTGAAGGGCAGGAAGAATAGAAAGCGCTTTGTGTCTCTGCTGCTGTTTTAAATCCAGCCGAGGTCGGTGGTGACTGACTGTTCCCATCTGACAGCTCTTCAGAGCTGGAACTGCATTTGGAACAAGCTGCGATCTTGCTGAAAAGCGTAGTGGGGCAGGCTTGGTGGGGAGGGCACAGAGCCAGGATTTCAGCCCTCTGTGAGATCAAGGTTGAAATAAATGGACAGGACAGATCTCGCTGCTTGTCCTGCTCTTGTTTTGTGACAGCTAGATGACTTTGTTTTCCAGGGCAGGCCGTCCCACGCCTCTACGCCGTAGTAATTTCACTTAAAAGCGTGATGCCCAGTTTGATAAATGATGCTAAGCAGTCCAGTCTTCAAGCAGAGTTCTTCTGCCGCCTTTGGGTGATTCAACCCTAACAATGCATTTGCAAGAGCAGAGTTGTAGCTTTTATTTGCTGCTGACTTCATCTCTCCTGCAGAACCCAAGGTATAAATAGAAAGACAGCTGAAAAGGTGCACTTTATTTGGGTGGAAGGTAGCTTGTGAGGTGGATGGAATCATGCATCTTTAAAACCAACAAAAATTAGCACCCCTTAAACTTAATTATTTAAACTTTATAAAATTCACCTCTTTGATCCATGACATGCCTGCCAATTTAGCCGTACCAGCAGCCAAGTGTTTCTGCAGATGAGTGACACCAAATGCTGTTCTTGCTCTACTGGAAATATTTTGGGGATGGGAGAAGTCAAGGAGCTGTAACTCAGGAAACTTCTAATTTTTGTCAAGGTTTGGGCTCCAAGTTTCCCCTGGGAGCTGAGCCCATAGCCAGGGCTGCAGTCAGAAGGTCTGGGGTCTTTTGATGGAGCTGCTGCTGACCACCAGTGTAGCCTCATCTGACGATAACGATATTCTGAGAGATGAGCGTTACTCCTGTCATGAGGTGAGATCCATGCACAGAGCTTTGACGTCTTCAGTGGAAGGTCCTAAAGAGGAGCTAAGTATCTTTATTTTAATCATTGTCATTCAAAGGATATTTTAATATAAAATACATACATATATATGTATGTACATTTTTTTATATATATATATATATATATTTGTAACCAAATAAAAGCTAGAACTATGCAAACACTACTGGCTGCTGCTTGAAACTAATGTCTACCAGAACATTATGGGATAGAGTAGATTTGTTGGGTTTTTTTGTTTTTAAATAAAATTCAGCAGACCAAAGTTTTGCTGCAGTTAGTCTTACTAGAAACTTAGGTTATTCCTGATCTGGAACCCACTCAGGTGGGTTATAAAATTATCTGAAGAGTCCTACCATCTCTAAAATATTTCCATCTGCCTTGAAATTATTGCTGAAAGGCTTTCTTTTGCCAAACATAGGAAAACACAGAGGCTGGAACTAGGAGAGATTGAATGTGATGTTTGGGATGATAGAAGAGAAGTAGAATCAAGGAAGGACTGGGAGCATTTTCTTTTGGGCATAGGATTGAGTTGGCTTCAAAGAATCTTCCTACTTGTGAAAATGTCCATCGCTAGGATGGAGGCAGTGATCGAAGCATCACCAGGCTGAATTCTGGTGCTGGTGGAGGTATTGGAAATCTTCCCGCTGAATCTGATGGCACCAGACTTTATTCTGCTGGGAGAAATTTCATGTGGTTTCTACCGTTTCTTTGTGTCAGATGCGATCTTTGCTTTTAGGATTAACTACAATATATCCAACTGTAATCTTCAGTGACCTTTGACTTTTTATTCCTGGGACTATAGAAAATTCAGGTTTCCTGTAACATTATCCTCATCCCGACTGTGAACAAGTTACTACTGCTTCTTATAATTTATTGTCTTTCTGTTCCTGAACGTCTGGGTGATCCAGCTGTTCACCAGCACCACCTTCCAGTGCTTCATTAGCTTTTATGCACAGGGAATTGTTGCAATGGATGAGTTGACCACGCTAGTTGGAAGAGTAGAAGCCTTTGGAGAATGACTTTTGCTTCCTCTAGCTGTCATTAGGGAGTGCACACACACATACCTGTATATACATATATATGTATACATATATAAAGTGTTTCAATATAAACTCATTTAGCATTATTCTTATTTAATTTATATTTTAATCCAGTTGTAAACCAAAGTATTACAGCTTGTGAAATGATGTGTCTTGGAAATAGGAGGAACCTTTTTAGATGGGAGCTCTGAAAGATCTTTGCTGACAAAAACATGGATACGAATAAGACTTAAGAACTTGTGCTGCTGAACCCTAGAGATTTGCAGCCTTGGAGTGATTTAAGACTTGCTGGGTAAAGTTTGGTGGTGGGGAGGCAGTGTGGGTTACCATTTTAAAACACTGCTGGTTGTTTTTTTCTCATCCAGTATAACTTGATATTGGAGGAGTTGCTACAAGAGCAGTACCACAGGGCGTCTGATGGAGATGAGGCGTGTGGTTAAAGCTAAGAGGGCAATGTCAGGTAGTGCCGTCTGCTTTTGGTGTCTTCTGTTCACAGTTCTGCATTGAGGTGTGCTGGGTTCAGCTCTGGGCATCTCAGTACCACCCTGTCGAATGACCCTGCAGGGAGCTGGTCAGTTGATGGTTTGAATGAGTGCATTAAAAGTGTGACTCGGCAGTGTTTCTGCTGCTGGACTTATCCAGCAGAATCACTTTGGAATCTGCCACCCTGCTGTGCCTGCTGGTCACAAAACGTGGGGCTTCTGCCCTGCCTCTTGAATTGGGATGCTTTAAGGAAGCATGACGACTCGCTTACCAGAATGCCTCAAGGAAATCCCCTGCAAGGGAAAATGAGGCAGGAATTTACGTGCGGGTTTGCGGAATCTAAAGCGATTCCATATGGTCCTCTGCCTGACTCCTTCCTTACAAATGCAGGGTTTGGATGAATTTTTGTAAACGCATGTAGAAAAGATGGGCCAGGCTGTTTCAGTGCTGGCACTGCTTCTGCCTGCGTCCCCTTTGGCTTGCTGTTTCTTGCTGTGGTATCTAATAAGGGTTGGAGCTGAGAAGTGTTTGTTGAGATGGAGTACAGCAGCCACCGAACCAGGTGCTCCTGGGCTTTGGCTCGTCTGTGCTGTCAGAGCGATTAAAGCAACTCATGAGGTGGGGTTCAGGGTCTTCCGAAGGCTTGGAAATTGGAGTATTTTTCATGGTACTTAACGTTTTTGTAGGAAAACAAGTATGTTCTGGCAAGCCTAGAAATAAAAAAGGAGAAGACAGCAAATCGGACTGTAGTCTGGCACAACTGGGAGCTAGAGAGAGGAAGCCACAAAAACAAGTGCTGATGTATTTAGTGTCTAATTTATAGTTTTAGAAAACCAGCCGTTGATATTTACTGATGTCTAGAGGCGGTTGGCATTTATTTTAGTAACTTCTGTGGAGGTGCATGTTCTGCTGTCACCAATGGGAAGAAAAAATGGGTTCAAAGATAAAACCTTGCTGATTCTTCTGTGCTGGGGAGTAATTGCCTTTCCAAGGAATTTGCAAACACTAAGAACAAATTCACCTCTAACAATCTCCCACAGGCTTGACAGTGGCTCTGCTTCCTCTTGCTCTTCTGCTCAGCCCGCACACTAGAGTCTCTTTTTAAGCACGGTGATGGTCCACCTACCTTTGTGGATCGAGTAAGTTCATTTAATACTCCCCAGCAGGATTAGTGCATACTTGCACTCTGCCAACCACATGCAGTACAATTTTTAGCTACTAGATCTGGCAAATATAAAAAGACTGTAAGACAATCTATTTCTAATTGTAGTCACCAGGTACTGCAGGTTGAGTACAAGACCCCCTCTGTGCCGCATGCTGTATCAGTGCATAGGAACATCATCCATCACATCAAATTCCTTTTGATTGAGGCATCCTGTAAGCAACCTCAGTGCGAAGGTGCTTTTCAGGGCAGCTGTCAGGAGAATCCCGTTAGGAGATCCCGTCTGGCTGCTGTGTCAAATAGCAGTTGCTCTGATAAACCAGGCAAAAGAAAAAGGGAAAGAAGGCTCGGGAGAAGAGAGGTACCTTAGACCAAGCACTGGCTGCTAATTGGGCAGAAAAGAGTTATTTGATTGATACAGTGCTCTTTATGTGGAATTTCTGTCATATTTTTTGTTCAAATAACTTTCAATAACATATATATGGTTTTGGTTTTGTTTTTTTTAAAAGGTAGCCCTTTCCACTGAAAATTTCCCAAGTTGATTATTAAGTAGCAGTAGTGTCAGTATGCTGCATCCAGTGACTTCTCAGTGTTTAGTGGGTAGGTGACGATATGTAAGCCGGAGACTTTGGGTGAAGGGGTTGTGAATCCATGCTGCTGGCTGTGTTTCCCTATAATCATTCTAATGGCTTTGGGACATGGACCAAAAATGCTGCTTTTTGTTTTAAAGCTTTAATTCTTTTCATGGAAATGTTGAAAAATCTTAGCTCCCTCCCCAATTATTTTTATGTTCCGTTTAGTTAAATTCTCATCTGGCATCAGTTTGTGATCTAAGAACAATTTCTATAACACCTGTGAGTAGGACTTTGTAGGACTTTGCAGATCACAGGAGGTTTAAAACCTGTGGCTGTAGGAGGTGATGTTTGTAACATGGTTTTTATGCTGCCATTGAAGTTGGGAGGGATGAGGAAGGGTCTTTGCAGAGAGCCGGTCTCTGTTGCAGCATAGATCGAGTCACTGGGCACCAGTGCCTGCTTGCTGGGGTCTGCCAGGTTAGAGGTGCAGGTTGGATTTTCTTTGGGTATTTTCCTTGTGGCTTCCCATTGTGCGAGCGCTTCAGCTTCCTGCTTTGGTAGCAAACAGCAGACTCTGCTGCCTTCAGCATCGGGAACACAATCAGCACTGAAGTGGTGCATCGGGAGCCTGCGGGGGAATCTTGGGAGGGGAATTGTGTGCCTTCAGAACCAAAACGTAGTTGGACTTGTCAAAGGCTTTTGTGAATGAGGAGTTAAACCTGCTTTTGGCAGGGTAGTGGAGCAGGCCTGGGTGTTTTGGCTGTTAATGTGTATTCAGATCCTTGTTTTTGCAGGGTGAGATGGGCCATTTCAGAAATCTGGGCAAGGAAAAGCAGTAGCATTTGAACCCCGTGTTCTCATTCCAGGTCTCCACTGAGAACTGCACCAGGTATGTCAATGCCATCGATGGGATGGAGGGAGAGTTGTACAGCATCATGTTAGGTGGCTGGGGGTGTGTGTGTGTTACACTGGGGGGTGCCAGGTGCCCCGTGCCAGAGATAACCCAGGTAAATGGGCATCTGTTGAGACTAGTAGGATGGTGCAGTGTTCCCAAAAAGTGGTCTTAGCCATGCCTATCAAGCCTGCAGGGTAGCATACTCTGCTATCAGCACAATTACCGATTTAGTGTGTCATGCATGTTTGTCTTTATACATTGACTGGCAAACTCAGAGTTTTCTGATGAGCCAGTGAGTAGTGTAAGAGGGCATTCCCCACAGGAAGGGAGGGAGAGTAATGTGGGATTTGTGCTCCAGCCAGAGCCCAGGCCTTTTAGTCCTGGGGACAGAGAGCTCCAGACCTGTTGCTTATCACCAAGGGAGGTGACTCAGGTAGGTGGTCGTCTTCTTTGCTAGAAGGAATCTATCACATCTGCTGGAAAAAAACTGCATGTGGGGGTCTGCGGTAATTCTTGCTAGGAAATCAGTTACAGTACTGGTTATATTCCAGCAGCAGTATAATTAACAGAATAATTCTTTTTGTTAAAAAAAAAAAAAGGCGTTAATTCTAATCTGGTGACAGTGACCTGCTTACATGATCTAGCATGTGATTCACATCACACCTCTTACAAAGCTGATTTTATTTCCCCAGTATCTCCCTACAACCTCAGACTCATTGCAGTCTGTAAAGGGGAAGAGGCCCTTTCCCTGTGTGCTGCTGAGTGCTGTAAAGGATTCAGCCCACAAAGCGATTGAAAACAGCAGCACTTCCACTGTGCAGATAGTTTGCCCACATTAGCCAGAGTTTTTTTAGCTAGTCAGCGACACGCCATCTGGTTCTTCTGAGCCTGAGCGAGTTGTTGTAGCAGGGAAGGGATCTGCAAAGTGCAAAC